CAATCCCTCCAAGTAACTTAAGGCTGTTCTTGAGCGTACACAGAGACAGAGAAAAACAAACAAACAAACAAAAACAAACAAACACATTTTTTTTCTCTTCACTCTGTTTGTTGGCCAGACAAACAGAGTGAAGTATTTCCTTTTTGTGGCTTATTTTTAAGCATAATTTCTAGCAGAATTTAAAATTCTTTTTCCTTTGGATTTGAAACAGTTAATAGTCACATTTACCTCTCACGCAGACTTTGACAAACATATATACAAAAAGACAAGAGAACAGAAGTCTTAGTTTTACACATCCTAGTCATTCCCACCATAAATTTCAGATAACTCAAGTTAGGGAAGGCACATATTTTAAACATACCACGTGGTTGCATAGAGAAGAGAGAGAGAGAGAGAGAGAGAGAATCACTATTTCTTATTTTCCCTTTTAAGTACCTTTATTTAGCCAAATTGGTTTCCCAGCAAGGCCCTAAGCAAAGTCTATTTTTTCTATACACTACACAGTCAAAGTCTCCTTGCGAGACTTCTTTCCTAACACAGTCGAAGTCTCCTTGTGAGACTTCTTTCCTAACACAGTCGAAGTCTCCTTGTGAGACTTCTTTCCAAACATAGTCGAAGTCTCCTTGTGAGACTTCTTTCCTAACACAGTCGAAGTCTCCTTGTGAGACTTCTTTCCTAACACAGTCGAAGTCTCCTTGCGAGACTTCTTTCCTAACACAGTCGAAGTCTCCTTGCGAGACTTCTTTCCCAATACAGTCGAAGTCTCCTTGCGAGACTTCTTTCCCAATACAGTCGAAGTCTCCTTGCGAGACTTCTTTCTCCTAATACAGTCGAAGTCTCCTTGCGAGACTTCTTTCTCCTAATACAGTCGAAGTCTCCTTGCGAGACTTCTTTCCCAATATAGTCGAGGTCTCGGAGGTGAGCGGCCACCTCCGCTCAGGGCTACTGCTTTAATATTTACTGGCAGAAGGGGTCCTGGCTTACCCAGAATAGGGTTCTCTTTCTCTGCCCGCTCGGTCCTCCTCTCTCACCAGAAGGTCTCACGCTCCGATGCCCCCCCCTTGCTTTCCCGAATTCCGCCGGTCACGGCTCCACTGGAGCTAGCAGCAGGTCGGGGTGCAGCTAGAGGGCACACGGAGGGAGCGAGCTCCAGCTGATTCTAAGAGGAGGATGCCTCACGCACACACTCATGCATTCTTCCTTTCATTCCCCCAGACCCTTTAACCTAATAGATTTAAATTGGGTGGCACTTACCCTCTTTCCTGGTAGCTGTTCGAGCGTAAGACTCAAAAACTCCCTTTACTACCCGATGCCGACCGGGCAGGGTCCGAGGAGGCTTCCCCATGGATCAAAGTGTCCGCTGCCGGCTGGGTGATGACTCTTCCGGGCCCGGTCCGGTGGCTGGGTGAGCTGGAAGTCCCTTCGTAGGTCGCCAGATTGTTGGGAGGAACTCCCCCGTTCGGTTCTTCCAGCCGGGATTCTCCTTGACGGCACAGTGCAGAAGAAATAGATCGTGAAGCCAGCTACCAGAAAGAGGTTTTATTTCGAGGATCAGCGTTGAGTGACAATTCAGCTCGAGTCCCCGGCTAGCTAGGCAGAGTGATCTTTAAACAGGGGTTTTTATACCCTTTTGTGGTTTCCAAACTTGTCATTTCTGATTGGTAACAAACTTACCATTTCTAATTGGTGAGTTAAAATTTGTCTTTCTTGATTTGCTGGTTTGTGACTATTGTTAGTTCCTTTTTCTTGCCTAAAAGGTGTTAATTACTTTTATTGTTGTGTCCTGATTGCTGCTAGCTGGTTCCTCATTGTGTGTGTCAAGTGTTTGCTGTTTTAGCCTCAGGCTGCTGTTGACCCAGTTTAGTTGGGGTGTTCCTAGATTATTTCTTAGTTGGGCTGGGGAGGGGGTGTCCAACTCTCATCACAAGCATGGTGAACTTGTGAAAGAATACCAGAATACCAGAAGCCGAGTAAGATGAATAATTGGCTTTTCCGATGGCTTTCCTGTGAAAATTATCAGGCCCCAAGACGTTATTACCATCGCTGTTCATTCTCGTCATGGATACCATCATGCAAGATCTGTATTATAGTGTCCCCTGGGCCTTGCTCTATGCTGATGATGTTTTCCTCACAGCTACCCACTAGGGAGGAACTGCATGCTTTGTCTAGACATGGAATGACAGTCTTACCCAATTTGGTTTGTGACTTAATATCAAGAAAACTGATTATCTAGAGATTAGCCTGAGCACCTCACAGTCAAGATCAACGGCGAAGTTTTAATGAAAACAAACTCCTTCCGTTACTTAGGATTCCATCTGCAAAATGATGGTGGCATTAGTAGGAAAGTGTGCATGAGGATGAATGTAATTACTAGAGTTTTTTTTGTAATAGGTGCATGTTAATTTACTTAAAATAGAAAGTGTATAGAATGATGGTTGCCCAATAGCACCGTATGGTGCTAAGTGCTGGCCAACTACCTAAAGTGCTGAATGCCTTTTGCATATCATGGAAATGCAAAATTGAAATCTCTACCTTCTTCACAAATTGAAATAGGTTTGCTTTTTAGATCTATTGTTAGACTGCATAGCCATAACATTGCAAGTCCCCGAGTATAATTCCCACTGAATTTCCTGGGACTTGTTTTAGAGTAGATAGGTCTACTCAGAAGTAAGCTCCATTAATGTATAGCACTTTTACTCTTGTTACCACTAAAAATTAATTTGACTTTATTTTTACAGGTAGTCCTGGACTTACAGCTTTTGTTTAGTGACTGTTCAAAGTTACAACAGCACTGAAAAAAGTGACTTATGATTTTTCCACTTATGAACCGTTTGGAGCATCCCCATGATCACATGATTTACATTCAGTTGCTTGACAGCTGATTCATATTTATGACTGTTGCAGTGTCCCAGGGTCATGAGATCATATTTTGCGATCTTCTGACAAGCAAAGTCAATGGGGAAGGCAAATTCACTTAACAAATATGTTACTAATTTAACAACTGCAGTTATTCACTTAACAAATGTGGCAAGAAAAGTTGTAAAATGGGGCAAAACACATTTAACAAATTTCTCACATAAATTCTGGGCTCAACTGCGGTCATAAGTTGAGGACTATCTGTATTTGCTATATTTTATTTTCTCAAAAATACTTGTATTTTGAGGTTTTATAAGACTTTACAATTATGTTCTGTCTAAATTCTGTTTAGCATGATTGCTTTGCCTTTAGGATTATATTATATATTATATAAATTAAATTAAATAAATAAATTAAATATAAATTGACAATCATTTCGTCCCTCCAAAAGCTTGCTATTTTCAACAGACACTCTTGGAAACCTTCTGAACTGTATATACATATCCTTGTCTCTACAAATTATTTAACTTGCAGTATCTAAAATTTTTATTTAGGATGAACAGAAGGTTTTTCCTAATTGTGAGAGTTACCTTGCTTCATTTAGTGCAGGCCAAATGGTTGCCTACTCTTCATTGTTATCTGTTCTGATGAATCTTTCATGCCTTTTCTAAATTCAGGATGTAATGATACTTGGTTTCTTTTTCACTGTTTAGTGACATACTGGTGACTTTGTTAAAACTAGCCTTATCAAGCTGGTGATCGCCAGAAATTGGAGAATTTCCCTTAATTTGAGGGAAACTGTTTTAAAGCATATTTCCTATTCCTTTTCATCTGCTTTAACCTCATATTTTGGACAACAAGGAACTCATCTAGCTGAGCAATTTACAGTGTTTTACTTTATAGATGCTTGAGAAGTTCCTTAAGACAATGTTGAAGAACCTCTTAACCTTGATGTTGAGAGAATGGCTGATTACAGTGAGCTTTTCAAGTTTTTCCTTCCCAAGTTGGACTAGCTGCAAGTACCGGTAGCCTCTTGCTGTTTTGTGAGATAGCATGAAAAATCATGAACAACAGAGGTGGGGAAAGCCCATTACACAATCAACCTCATGTATAGAGAATGAAAATTGGTGCATTCATTGTCAGACAAGGTCACTTGTGTGGGAGGCTGTTGAGTATGGAGCAATGTTTGGTATGAGAATGGCCATTTTCTTTAAAGTTTCAACTTTCTGAAATATCAATCAAATATCACACTGAAAAAAACCTAGGGAAATTTAAGCTCTGTCATTGAGGATCAAGGTATCTCCAACCGGATTGGGAATGATTTCTGAAAAGCCAATTAGCAAACTGCTGCTAATTCAGTATATAATTTTGTAGATAATGTCTGAGGCAGGGAAAGAATATTTATTTGACTCTGGCTGTTCCATTTCCTTCCTTCCTTCCTTCCTTCCTTCCTTCCTTCCTTCCTTCCTTCCTTCCTTCCTTCCTTCCTTCCTTCCTTCCTCCCTCCCTCCCTCCCTCCCTCCCTCCCTCCCTCCCTCCCTCCCTCCCTCCCTCAGATGTCCATTGGAGGTCAATAGGAGTACTATGAGAACACTGTGTAGAATTCAGAGACCTGCTACTTCTGATACAGCCTTCAGGACTAATATTCGCCATGGTGGCGCAGTGGTTAGAATGCAGTACTGCAGGCTAACTCACTGATCACTCCAGGAGTTCGATCCTGAGCGGCTCAAGGTTGACTCAGCCTTCCATCCTTCAAAATGAAAACTCAGATTGTTGGGGGCAATAGGCTGACTCTGTCAACTGCTTAGAGAGGACTGTAAAGCACTGTGAAGCAGTATATCAATCTAAGTGCTATTGCTATTGCTTTGTTCATATTGGTCTTTCTCTTATTGGTCTTTCTTGCTCACTAGAATATAAACATTATTGTTAACAGTAATAGCTGAGCAATATAATATTTGTGTGTGTGTATATTGTATGTGAATGCTTCTCTCTCCCTCTCTCTCTCTCTCTCTCTCTCTCTCCCCCTGTCTCTCTCTTTGTCTGTCTGTCTGTCTGTATTTATATATCTATGAATAGACATATAAGTTGCCCACCCTATCTGTTGTAAGCAGAAAAAACATTATGTTTTCACTTGCTCTTTGCAGATAAAGGAAGGAAAAAAGGAGAACATGGCATTGGCATCCTGGTTTGGATGGAATGAATCTTCTAATCGTATTTCTCAAAGAAGCCCAATGGAAATGGTGACTGAAACCCTGATGATGGAGCTTGATTGGCAGATCAAAGAAGCTGAAAAACAACAGCGGGAGAAAGAAAATGAGTATCGCAAGATCAAAACAGGAGTTGATTATGGTTGGCTGGTTAGCTATCCCAAGCAAGGCTATGATATCAGTCCAGGGGAGCGTCTTCAGCTGGAGGATATCTGTTCCAAAATACATCCATCCTATTGTGGACCAATCATTATTAGGTATTTGCTTGGAATCTCTCATGCACTGTATATAGAATGAGCGTGAAGTAGCAATAACCTAATCCCAAAGACTGTTCTGGCTGGAGATTATGGATTCTGAAATGCATCACATTTAGAGAACACCAAATGCAGGCAATTGGGTAGAATATCTAGCACTGAAACGTGATTGATTTTCCCCTGTAGCTGAACTGGACTAAAAGCAGCAGAGCAAACCATTTTCTGTTTTTAAAAAATGGTTATGAATAATTCAAAAATTATTCACAGCCTTCTAAATGACTTGTCTAGAATCAATTACTGAATGCTGATTCTATTTGTATGTATGAAGAATTCAGTACTGAGTGCCTGTTTAGAAACTCTTGTTGGAAATAACTTGCAGAAATATATCACAAATGCAATCAGTTGCTTCAAGTCCATATTCTGTCTTTCCAGGCAAAAGTTTGCAGTGGTCTAATCAGTTTTATCCAGAAGTCTGATTATTATAATATTTTGTTTGGCAAAATTTAGATAAATAACTTGCTGCCTGCTACCAATTTAACCAAATTAACACCACTGCATGTAATTTATAATGCCAAGTGATTCTTTTTAAAGAGGACCCATAGTTTATATAGATGGGGAAATTCAAATGATGAAAATAGGTGATGAGCTCTTATTTCCTTCATTTATATTGACCACCAGGAAACAGTGTGTTGAAGGGAGGGAGGGAAGGAGATGGGTGATTTAGAATTATGAAATAGAAATAAATAAGTAGAACTACTGTATTAAGTAAAAACAGTACAAGTCAGATACAGGTCAGTTTAAGTAAAAATGCCACACAGAATATACATTGTGTAAAAATACAGAAACACAGAAATGTGCCCTTCCCTCCCAAAGGGATGGTGGTAGAAGTTGTGGTAAATCCTGATACGTGAAAGAATAACATAAGTTAACACCTATATGTCTCTGCTTTTAGGGTTTAAGTGAAGCTGGACTGTATATGCCTCCTAAGGCTAGAATCATTTGCTCATTTATTTCTTAGATTTCGGCAACTTATTGCTGAATATGAACCAGAGCCTGGAGAAATACCTCGGCTTTTCCGTTCTGTTCTGCACGATGCCACCGAGAAGATCAAAGAGGAAGAGGAGGCCAAGAAACTTGCAAGACAATGGAACACCAAGAACAGAACCAGTCTCTCCCTCACCACATTCAGATCCCGCATCAGGATTTCCCCCTTCAGCAGTGATATCAAGACCATTTCAGAAGATGTGGAGAGGGGCATGGAGCCGACCAGAAGAATGTGGAGCATGCCTGAATTCAGGGATACCAAGGACTATTGACTTTATTTGTGACAGTAGTTTTTTTTAGAAACAGACTATTTTATTTATTTGGGGATCTGTTTGCAGGATGATTATTTTTGTCCTGTTTCTGATCGTCTCTCTGTTGTGAGGAATTCATATGAATTCTTTTTAGGTACCTTTTAATTCAGGCATATATACCTGTAGGTTCCTGTTTTCCTTGGGCATATTCATAGGAAATCACTCAGGCAGATTATCTCACCTATTACCAGTTAATTATGCTATGGGCTTGCATGAAAAACTGCACATAAGTCAGCCTGGATATGTGTTTGCTTATTTAAAGCATTTATATAGCTGCCTATCTTATAACCAATTCTTATTTGAAGTCTGCTTTTTTGTCACCAAAAAGAGAGGCCCAGAGAGTAATAGTGAAAAGCTTGCTTATTTATTTTAGCTTTCTTTTGGGGTTTTCCTCTCAATCCTTTTGCTCAATCCTTTTGTGATCACACAAAAATTGCCATACCCCACCCAACACCCAACCACAAATCCTAACCAGCCATTTTGTATCATATGCAAGGATCCATGCATAAAAAAAGAAATATCTCATTTAGAATTTCCCAGCATTAAATTTGAAACAAAAGTATTACAAAATGGCAGTAGTTTATTCTTTTTTTTCTTTTTGCCAAAATGTTATTGGACCCTGCTGTCAATATCATCAGCTGGAGGAATGCCAATAACTCCTAAATAGAAATGTGAGTCTTGCAGGGTACTTTCGATTATCAAATTTGAGGGGAGAGAAGCATACACAAATGGTTGAAAAATTTTAGCACCTGGAAATTCTTTCTTTTTGGTAATTAGTTGCTATATAGCAGGGGTCTTTAAACTTGACCCTGTTATGACTTGTGGACTTCAACTCCCAGAATTCCTCAGCCAGTGTGCTTGGCTGAGGAATTCTGGGCGTTGAAGTCCACAAGTCATAAAAGGGCCAGGTTTGAAGACCCCTGCTATATAGCTTGAACTATATACATCTTGACTAATCAGTGACTACCATGTTATCTCTATCCTAAAAAAAAATAGGGACCTCTATGTAGATATTTTAAGGAAAAATGTTTCTTTAAAACTGAAAAACTAAAAAAAGCAGTGGGCTTCTATGCTTAGAGGAAAAAGGAATGCTTTGAAGCACCATTTTCAAGGTGTATCACCAAGGCAGTGCTTCCATTTTCTCTTCCCTGGGTTGAAAATTTCTAAAATAGTTCCCTTATTTTTATTCTTATTGCACACATTTCTACACCACTGGTTCAAGAAGAAACATAGTTGTCAATTAGATATATACAATTTTTTATTGGTTTTTGATGAAATATAGTGCTGCCATGACCATGATGGAATGTATCTCCAATCCTGAGTCATAAATTTTACTGGGCTTATTTTTGTGTAATACTTAAAAGCCATAACAATGGTCACTTGAGTTCTTGACATGGCTTCTTACCTGCATATTCTCTTCACACCGGAGGCATGTTTCAAGCTGCCAAGGTTAAGTCCTTTTCACTGTTTTACTGCCCTAGAGAGAGTGTATAACTTTGGTATTGAAGATGGGAGGAGTGACTGTCTTATGTCAGAGTCTTTTGTGCAAATAGTACACTGCGGTATTTCAGTCATTGGCCTAAAGAAAAAATGCTTTTCTGTTTCTGTTGGATATCTTATTTATACATGAATAGGTGGTGGTTTATGATTAGAGCTTCAGACCAATTCTTGAAAATGAAAGCACTTAAGAGGGTTTTGTGCTGCTTGTAGAACACAAATTTCAAGAAATGCTGTTTGGCTTTCTTTATTTTGTGGTGGCTTCAGCTTCATTTTAGAAAGTTTTTGCAAATGTTGGATTTCCTGTAAATAAGCAGAGTATGCACTGAAGAATTTTCTTTACTCCTGCTTACTTACCTTCTTTCTCAAATATTTTTGACAAAGATACCAGCAAATAACATTGTTTAATACCAAATGGATTTAGGGCTTCAGTTATCAATTATGTGGGAGTGGGAGTACAGAGATACTGAAAATTTGACAATCACACATTTCTAAGTCATCTAAGAAAACGAATTTCATTGTGGCCTTTGTTATACTGTTTCTCCAGTGTTTAAAGATTGGCACATGCAAATGTAATCCTAACTCTAAAGTAGCCTGGACAAATCTCATGAACTACAGATAGACTAGGATTACCACTCCTAGCCATATGCTTAGTTATAAACCTAACATACTGGGAGGGTAAAACATCAGTCAAGGCTGATTTGAAGGCAGAAGAGCAGAAACTTGTGAGAATGTCTCCTGTCTTTCTGCTCAGGCAGCCTAAGAATGTGAGGAAGTTGCTGGTGAATCCTTTGTTTCTATATTGGACATGTTTTATACAGCACATTTTGAACATGGTAAATATTTACATCTCTTGTACAGTGGGCTCCCCCATTGCTGTGTCTAGTGTTTTGGATGCATGGTCCTTTGCTTTAGGGCCTGATTTGTGGGAAAAACTACAAAAATAGAAAGCCATTCCCATGATCACTTTTGTATTTAGGAGTGAAATGCTTGTTGCATTCAATTACAAAAGTGTGTTCCTTAATTTTAGCTGCCTTGTAATTGATTGTGATACTGTAGATACAGATATGCTGTGTTCTGTTTATTAACAGTTTCAGGGTTACTTCAGGTATCCAGTTTATATACTGTATCTTGACTACAATTAGCAGTGTTTTTCTACTACTATTAAAATGCAATTCCTTAAGTAATCAAAATAGAAACTGTGTGTTCAGGAGTTATATAGTTATATCTGAATGTAATGTCCATTCTTACCTGAGAGTAAGTAGTATTGAACACAACTGTGTAGTTGAAACACACACACACACACACAGACATAGACACAAACACAGGATTGAAAGATTTTATTTTTTACTGGAATATATCACTCAGGTTGTATCCATATTCCTACCTCCCCAGGAAAATCCCACTGAAGACAGTGAAGAGCTGTACATCTCAGTACCTACACATAGGATTCCAGTGCTAATTGCTAAATTAAACTGGAAGAAAGGTGGGTAAAATGGAAAGAGAAGCTTTAAAATCTGATTTAGCAGAAAGCATTCCTATTAAATGGTTGATTAAAAATAGGTATCCACTCTGGATGTGTTTAGTAAATTAAGAAGAAGATCCCACCATCGATTTATGTATTGGTTCCTTATATAGTTTTTTGTTAACTTTTGATGTTTATGGCTTTTTAATTGTTTTAATTGTTTTATATTACTGTTTTATGATGATGTAAGTCACCCAGAGTTGTTTGAGACTGAGATGGGAGGCATATAAATTTAATAAATAAATATCTGTGAAACATAAAACCAGCTGGTATGCTGAGGAATTGGCTTTCACAAAGAAAAATCAATCTTATTATCCGAATTTTCTTTGGTTAGATCATCTACTTATTGATATAGTTGGGCTTTTTAAAATATTTCAAACTATTTATCACTGAAAGTCTAAGGAAGTGGAAATAAGAAAAGCAATGAGATTTCCTCCCCAAATTTTATCTGCACTCATGAAGTAAATTATTGTCCAAAGGTCAAACTGCTTTCTTCACCAGGTTATCCTTTTAAACATTACCCTGAGGATTGTGCTAATACCTCCATTTTTGTTTCTCTTGCTGATTGATTAGATTTGTTTGAAAGAAAAGTATATAAAGCATTGGAACAATTATGATTTTTATTTGGAATTAAGTAGGTTTCATTATAGTGCTACCTGGCTTTTATTCTTGAATTTGTTACAAATCACAGAAAAGTGCAATTTCTCCACTGGCAGCTCTCAGAAGGTGTCTTGGGGAGGGGGGGAGGGAGGGGGAAAGAAATGAAAGCTTGCAATTGCTGAGTGAAGCTCTTCTACCAGGAACCCTCCACTTTAGCCTATATATGAGTGCCAAAACCAAATTCACAGCTTTTTAAATTATGAATTCAATTTTTTAAAAATTAACCTAACACAACACCCCCCCCCCATTTTAAATGGATGGGTAGACAGACAGAAAGATATAGGTAGGCTGGCTTCAGGTTACATGTGGAATTTATTTCAGTTAAAACAACCTGAGAGTATCCATTTTAGTTTCCTGTTTAGTGCAGATTGAAAATAACATTTCATTTATGGGATTGGAGATAGGTGAAAGCCAATTGCTTAATAGACTCTTGTTTTGCCTAGCTGCAAAGTATTTTTTGCTTTCTAATCAGCTAATCAGAAAATTACCTAATGACTGAAACTCTTTTCTCAATACTACACTTGAATTACAAAAAAAAGTCAAATCTAACAAAAGATTAAACTGATCTAATTAGGCTTTCTAACATGGAGTCAATATACTAGGAACTAGTCCAATGCTTCTCAACTTTGGCACATAGAAGATGTGTGAACTTTTAACTCCCAAAATTCCCTAATTCTGGGAATTGGAGTCCACAAGCTGCCAAAGGTTGAGAAACACTGAACTAGATACTAGGAACACTATTGAGTTACATCAGAATACAGGGATGTGTTATGAGAATATAAAAAAATTAAATTAACAAGTTAGTGCAGGGGTGTCAAACTTAATTTCATTGAGGGCTGCATCAGCATTGTGGTTGCCCTTACGGGAGGGTGCAGCCAGGGTCAGTGCGGCCTACTGGGTGGCCGTGGATGGAGTGGGTGTGGCCTACATCGTTCGCGTCAAGGGTGCCTGTGGGAGCCTGGGCAGGAGTGGGACAGATCTGAGGGTCTCTGGCAGAATGGGGTGGGACTGGGGCAAGTGCCAAGGCATGGTCCATTTCTTCATTCCTCACAAAGGGTGACACCTCCCCAGCATGCACCCAGGGGGCAGGGCCAACACAGCAGGGACTGGTTCCTCGCTGTTTCTAGACGGCCTTGTGGAGCTAAGACTGAATGCGTTTCAGCATAGATGGCCACCACAAAATTGTACATGGGCTCCCGGCCGGCCTGGGCCAGGGCCAAGGCAGCGGGGACCGTTCCTTCACTGGCTTCGTGGGCCACATGAAACCACTTCGCGGGCTGCATCCGGCCCCTGGGCCTTGTGTTTGACATGTCTGAGTTAGTGCATTTAAAGTTCAAAATTCTCCTGTTTGTAAAAATAAGGGTAAGCTAAGGGTTTAGGAATATGAAATCTATGTTACAATAGCTTCTAGACCAAAATGATCAAAGGTGCATAGATAAAGGAATAGTTGTATTCATTCAGATACACATTAAAATGCATGTTTTAAATATATTAGATGCATCATACAGAAATAAATTCATTACCAATTCTGTATAAATAAGTACTTAAACAGTGTCTCTCAATATTTTGCTCTAACGGCTAGAATTGGCAGTGAATAATAAGATACTGTATGGTTTTTAAAATCCTTCATGTTGATTATCAATCCTTGGTCAATTTACAGGTGGACAGGGTGCTCTCTGGTGTTACTTAAGGGTTGCATCAAACTTTAGATATCCTGGAAGAAATTGGCTTTTATCATATTATTGCAGAGTCCATGGCAGCAGGAGCCAAGCTCAACTCTGAGCTGTTACTTTTGTACTATACCTGGTTTGAATTGTGAATAGCCAGTACGTTGTAGTTATGGGTTTAATTAAGAGTAGGGAAACCCATGTTCTAGTCACAGGGAAGGCAGTAGGTGACCTTGACTCAGTCCTTCCTTCTCACACTAATCGGACTTTGTAACAAGCCAACAGAAAAATAACTGGATCATGCACTGATAATTGAAGCAAGAACAACGCAAAGCGTGAATCTTGCAACCAAGTGAGTCAACTCCTAGGGACAGCAACAGCTTACTATGTATTATAATCATCATTCCATCAATTACATATTATCCAGGCAAATCACAAAATAAAAACATTAAGAAAACTATTGGATCAACCAAATGGGATAGACAACAACACCATCAGATGGATCTGTAGCTGGCTGACAAACGGTACTCGGCGAGTAGTTCTCAATGGTACTACATCCACATGGAGAGAAGTAAGCAGTGGGGTACCACAAGGCTCTGTCTTAGACCCAGTACACTCCAATATTTTCATTAATGACTTACGTGAGGGAATAGAAGGGGAACTCATCAAATTTGCAGATGACACTAAAGTGGCAGGAATAGCCAACACCCCAGAAGACAAGCTCAGGATCTAAAAAAATCTTGATAAACTTGAACAATGGAGAAAGTGGAGAAAAGCAAATTTTATATTTAGACAGGAAAAAAAGTCAAAGGTTTAAGTACAGATTAGGTGAGACCTGGCTCAAAACAGTAACTGTGAGAGGGACCTTGGAGTCCTAGTGGATGATCACTGGACTATGAGCCAGCAGTGTGCAGCAGCAGCCAAAAGAGCTAATACAATCCTGGGTTGTATAAACCAGAGGCATAGAATCAAGATCACACGAATATTAGTACTGCTTTATAAAACCCTAGTAAGACCACACCTGGAATACTGCAACCAATTTTGGTCACCATACTACAAAACAGATGTTGAGACTTTGGGAAAAGTTCAGAGAAGTGCAACTAAAATGATCAAAGGCCTGGCGACTAAAACATAAGAACGGCTGCAGGACTTGGGTTTGGCTGTCTAAAAGAAGAAACGGGCAACATGATAGCAGTATTCCTGTATCTGAGGGGCTGCCACAAAGAATCAAACTATTTTCCAAAGCACCAGAGGCCAGGACAAGGAACAATGGTTGGAAACTAACCAAAGAGAGAAACAACCTGGAATTAAGGAGAAACTTCCTAACAGTGAGGACAATTAACCAGTGGAACAGCTTGCCTTCAGAAATCGTGGGTGCTCCATCACTGGAGATTTTTAAGGAGAGACTAGATAGTCACCTGTCTGAGACAGTATAGGTTCTCCTACTTAAGCAGGGGGATGAAATAGAAGACCTCCAAGGTCCCTTCCAGCTCTATTCTATTCTGTTCTGTTCTGTTCCGCTAATTTCAGCATGCGTATTCCTCCAGTGGTCAATCAGAGCTTCCAAATGCAATTTAAAGTACTGATTGCCTTCTATAAACCCCATGTGGATCAAGTTCTGGAGTTGTGGGCCTGTCTGCCTTCTGTTGTCTCTGTTCAGTGAAATCCAATAATCCTTTTTTAAAGTGAAATGGGCGGTATATAAATTTAATAAATGAGTAATAAACAGAATTGGCATGCTTCGAGTCCTACTAAGCAGGGTCACTTGTAGAGCCTATGAAATCCACAGAACTCTGACCTTGCCTTGAAAACCTGTGTCTTTCCATGAATACTAGACTAGGATACTATGCACACCTACCATTGAGAATGAGCTCTACTAATTTGAATTGTTTCCTTTCCCTGGATGGCTGTTTTATTCCTCTTTTAATTGTTACATTGCTTTTATTGGGTGCCCAGAATCATGCACAAATAGGAGACTATAAACATTGCTATCATAAATAAATACATTCCACTTTCCCTCACACATGGCAACCGTTATTGGAACTTCATTGCATCAGTAGACTGAAATCTAGCAGTACTCTTCAATGCAATCTGCACCCGACTGGGGCAAAATGGGTTCCCAATGTACACATTGCTGTTAGGTTTGCAAAACGTTTCACAGATAAATTAATTTGTATTTGCTCAGATCTTATCTCCAGCTTAGCAGAATCAAATGAAATTACTTGTACAACTTCCTGCAAGCCTACATGGAATTCTTCTGATCTTGTGGACTTTTAAGGAAGTGGAGTGATTAGCAGCATATGCTCTGCCACATTTGGTCTGGATCTATGCCTTCTGTTGGCTCTTTAGGGCAGACAGTTGAATAAATAGGACTTAAGGCAATCCATGCCCTCCTTTAGAGAAGATGTTGGGGCTGCAATTCCAATGGGCCCTGGAAGTTACATTCTCTGGATTGTTTGCAATCAGAGTTTAGACCCAGTTATGGAACAGAAACTATATTAGTTTTTCAATGGTCTCTATCAGGACCTGTTTAGTGTGTTACCTTCTGGTTCTATTAGATCCTTCAGCAGCATCTGATACCAGCAATCAAGGGGTCAGGCTGGAATACATGTGAGGGTGAAGAGTTGGAAGCACTCTTTTGCAATAGAGATGGAGAGCAATTTAGCTCTTGGCCACTGATTCAATGGGTGGCTCAGAGTTCTGCTCCCTCTTTTCCCTGTCTGATTCATCATCTATATTAAACCATTGAAGGAGGTCATCCACTGATTTGGGACGATACAGATATAAACAATGTGTCCTTACCCAATCACTCACCACCACCCTTACTTTATGACTGCATTTCTACAATGCACTCTTCTTAGTCATGACTTTCTACAATGCACTCTTCTTAGTCACTACCCAGAAACTGCTCAGAATAAGTAAGTGGGTGAGAGCTGTTTCAACACTGTAACACTAATATTACAAGCACTGCTGATAGGTTCCTGGTTCAAATTAAAGAGGGTGATAATGATCTAAAAAGCCATAGATGGCTTGGGTTTAGGTTGCATAATGAACCATCTCTCCAAACAGAATCTGCCTCTGCTGTCCAAGCAATCCAAAAACAATGCTGAGTCCTCTCTTTAAAAAGTTAGGGGACAGGAACTTGGAAGCAGACATTCCTGGCAGCTATTCCATCTTTGGAATTATCTCTTCCCCCAAATTGAGATCCAGGTGTCCCCAACCTTGATTATATTTAAAAAACCCACAAAGTTCTTTCAATGACCATTTGAAGAGTGACTAATAACTATGTTTTAATTATTGATAAATTAAACAATTCTTAATTATTTAGAATTATTTCAATAAATTATTTTAAACTGTAAATGTATTGTTAGTGTTTTAGGTTTTTTTTGTACTAAACAAGCCACCTAAGAGTGCAATATAAAAAATGCAAAAATGAAGACAAGCTGTAAGTCGCTAGACATTTTTCTTATTAAGTGTTTTCGGGAAAGAAAAAACTATGTAGCATCTGTAGTTCTCCACAGCATCATTCTAACCCTATGGTTTCTTCACACTTGTTAATATTTCACTAAAACAATTTACATCAAATTCAAAAGCAGTAAGTTTTATTGGATTTTTCTTACAAAATGAAACTTCACACACTTTGAGGTTATATACCACAACCAGTCTTCTGAGCATTCTGTTAGCTATACCATTACACTCAACTGAAATTGATAGCCCACTGAGATATTCATAATGTGGACTTTGATACATGCCTCTCTGAAAGAAAGGCCACAAAACTGATCAATGTTAATCATACCCAAAATAAGAACAAAACCAAGCAGCAGTGGGCAGTAAGCTAATTTCATAATGTTCATTTAACAGTGGTACCACCCAGAGTTTTTAAATGAAATGCCTAGCACCTCATTAAATAAACTGAAATTAGAGTGTTTGTTATTAACTTGAAAAAGAAAACATTTTACAAAAGAAAATTATTTTAAAAAATCTTACTCAATGCTTTAGAATGTACATTACTCAGAAAGAGGTATTTTGCTGTTTGCAAATATTCTCAATACTAAAAATATCTATATACATGGGTCTGATTCTTCTTTAAGAACTTCTTTGCTAATATTTGGTTTTAATCAGAAAAATGACCAAGGACAACTGATGATAAAGTCGCATTCTGCATGCAATTTGGATATTCAAAGTAGGCCGAAATTCCAACACATCCTTTCACTTTAATGGATGGTTATGCCTTCATCCTAGTTTGGTTAGGTTCTCTTCAACATCAATATGGCTCTTTGTTGATAAAGTGTCACCAATTATTTTGTCCTTTTTAAAGGAGCTATCAATTATC